GCTTGAATAAGATGAAAGAGAAAGGCATGCCTATATTTGTATACAATATCGACGAGACATCTAAAAAATCCTCAGAACGAATGAAAGGCAACAAATTTAGTCCAGATGCCCCATTCAGATTACTGGTATGTGGCGGATCCAATAGTGGAAAAACTAACATGGTTATAAATCTCATGCTTGGTAACAAACTACAACGCATGTTTAAAGGTAAGAAAGGAAATCGTTATATCAAAAACGATAATCTCGTATTAATAGGCAAGCATTTTGAGCCAAAATGGCAACTTGTACAAAATAGCTTTCAGATTTTTGTAAATGCACCTAAACCATATCGAGAGGATATTACATTTAAAAGGATATCTCCAGATAAAATTCCAGATATAACCAAATTCTTACCAGAGTGAAGTATAGTTGTTGTATTTGAGGATCTATGTGCTGAATCAAAAAAAGTACAAGACCGAATTATTCCTTATTTCATTAGTGGTTGACATCAAAATGTCTCACCTATATATGTGAGTTAGAAATATATACAAACACCTAAAATTATTCGTGAAAATATCTCACATTTATGCCTATTTCGGGGATCGGTTAGTAGAGACGATATTAGTAGAATTGTACGTCAATATACAGATGATCCAAAAAAAGTATCCAAGATTATTGATAAGCATTTGCGGGATCGAGAATTCGTAGTTTTTGATTTTACCAAGGCAGTAGACGATCCACTTGCTATTAGATTGGGTTGGGATACACCCTTAAATTTTATATGATTTCAGATATTTTAGGAATTTTTCTGCCTCTTGCAATTCTATCTTCTTTTCTTCAACCTCATATCATAATTTTTTATTTTCATTAACCCGCTTTTCATGCTCTATAGTAATTTCTTGCATAAATTTATCAAAAGTTTTTTCGTTGTATTCCAATAATCGCTGAAATAAAATATTAACCTCTTTCTTAACCCGGCGATTTATCTCATCCCCATATGCGAAGCAAGGACACCTATGTGTCTGATCACATGAACAAATCGGAATAGTATCTTGGGTTTAGGATTCTTGGTTAATCATGTCTATATGTATCTTAACACTAGCTTTGTTATTATAATTATACGATAAATTTTTAAGTGGATCTATAATTTGGATTTGTTTTTTACGCTTTCTATTTAATCCTTTTTCATATACCTCTAATGTATGATACA